AAGCTGGTCAACTCTTCATTAGCTTTAATCTTGATCTGCTTCAAGATGGCTTTGGAAAAGACTTTCTGCTACTGTTGTGTTACAGAGGTTCTGAGGGAGGCATGAACACAAAGCAATCAAAGTATTTCTCAAATATTGATATTTGAACTGCTACAAATAAAGCACAAAAAAAGTTAAAAACACTTAAAACCATGATAGCCTCAGTTTAGAAGTATAACCTTGACCACAGCAGGGGAAACATGGAATTTCTTTCAGCTGTTTCAGTAAAAGTCATACTGAAAGGGCAAAGAACCAATTTCCCCTTGAAGAATGGTGTTCTGACTGTGCCCCACAGTAAATTCAGAACTCCCAAATTCACGCCCCTTTCACAGCTTTCCAGTCAGTGATGAGACTTCCATTTCCCTCTCCCTTCTCCTTCTAGAACTTGTCAGCATGTACTAATATATGCATTTTTTTTTGCAACACAAAACAGATCTTGCCACCAGACTTTAAAATGTAAAGAAGTTTCTCCAAATTAAAGATACATAAATAAATAAAACAATCAGTGTAGCAACAAGATTTTCCAACTTTTATATTTCCTCCTTTGAGGCATTTCAGATTTTTAAAAATGCATAGGCTTTGTGGGACATCATTTCTTTTTAAGTTTCAAATACATTTTCTGTATTTGAACATGACTCAGAAATACTCTGAGCTTTTACTACAAGATAACTATACTGCTGCAATAAAAAAAATCTTTACAGTATTTCCCAAGTTACTCCAGGATAATACTGATAATCTGCCATTAGAACAGTCACATTACTTATTCACACAATTTTTTCTCCTTTTGAGTAGTTACCCTATACATTACACCATGTATTACGTTTCTTAGGACCCCTGGACTGGCAAATTACCTCACCTAGAAGTTAAAATGGAGCCATGCTGAGGTAAATATATTTGCTGTCTACTCCATTCTTTTAACAGTATTCTTCCAGCAAGGATAAGAGGTTTCTTAATTCCAAGTTCTGAGCTAGAGAATTCTTTAGATGAAATGACCAAGAAAAGAAAATGGAAGCACTTCTCAAAATTTAAGACCCAAGAGAATGCTGAGCATTAGTATGTCCTGTGTGCTCCTCCACCCATTTCTTCCAGGAGAGTTTCAGTACTTCAGGGGGGACTTTTTTTTTCCAGGGATGACTTAGTCACACTTACCAACTAGCTTCAAAATGTACTTTAGAGAAAAGGAATCAACAGTTTGCCCCACAGATGAGACAACATACAAAAGTTAAACTTAATTTTAAGGAAGTATTTTATCACCCTTTATTTTCAGGTGCTTCCTAACGATATGACAAAGTATCACAATCACTTTTTGTAAATAAAAAAGTAATATCAACAAGTTCCAAATCTCTATGTATCAAATACAATCAATCATAAATAAAAAACATGCATTAAATTAAAAATGTTTCTATATTATCAAATATAATCATGTGACCCAGTTAGGACATTGAGTTTTTCACAAATATATAACTTACATCATATAAAAGTTACAGCATACATTCTTGGTTTTATTAAGTAACTGTACCATTGCATTATGAAAGAAACTTTAAGTTACTATTAGTGATACATTTGAGAGGCTTTTCAAAGTGTTTCACTATAAATTAATAAATCCATGTCTTGCCATGTAACTTCTCCTGTGTACTTACGTTAATTTGTCATTAACAGGTTTGTGTACTGGGTCTCAAATATTAAAGAGATCAAATCAGGCACATACATTTAAAACAAGGACACAGAAGCATTGCATAATGTAGATTTGAATTTGCTTTTTTAAAGCCATTGCATAGCACCTTTACTATAAATTATTAATACAGAGACGTTGCTCCAGCCATTCAAAACACCTCTCTAAAAAGATACATTCCAAACCTCTATAATAACCTGTGTCTTTTTTGGTACCTCTAGAAATTTCCCTTTTCATACATCTTACAGGGGTGCACAAAATGATGACTGACTCTAAAAGAAGTTTATGTTAGCAAGGAACTATTACAATATATTATTTTCCAGGTTTTACTGAAGAATCCCTTTCTGCTACTAATAAATCTATGCTCCAGGACAGGTAAACACCAACTGAGAGACTGGTCGTGGCCTTTCTGAAAGCAGAGAACAAACCCAGACAGGATACAAAGCATTTTCATATTTCATCCCCTTTTCTTTGGCTGCAGACAGGGATGCAGTTGTCTTTAGCTACATCTGTTTCAGTGCTAAACCCTGAGCCTCTAATTTCAGCTTTTCAACTGTGTGGGGATATTAAAGAAAAAATGTTGACAGAAAAGAAACCGACCAATAAAATGACACTCTCTTGTAGAGTAAAACACAAAAGAGAAATCTCAACTGACAAAAAATCCAGAAACAGACAGTGGCAGACAAAGCCTGTGCTGGAATAAACCTGTGCTGGCTCACTCCTCTTGTCCACCAAGGAGAAGACACAGCACAGGGACATCATCACACGAGCTCTAGAACTGTCCATTCATCAAAGTGGCTGTGAGCAATAATTTTAAGACATGTCCCAGAAAATGTACGTAAGACTTCTGAAAGACAATTTAACTCTGAGGTATAGTTCTAATACAGTTTTTCCCTAGGGAGCACTTTGAGACTGAAATACAGCCCAAGGACAGCTTTGTGTATCATGTCAGGGGACACCATGAAGCTCTCGTGGAATCAGGGCTCATAGTACAAGCTGCTTGCATGAAACATCTCATTCTTGAGAGCCCAACCACCAGGAAGTCCAACACACCTCCTTGCAGAACAGGCACTTTCATTTGTGTCATGAGATCTGAGTGGTGATGCCATTAAAGGACAGAAAGGACCAGACTGGCTGCTGGCACTGCAGGCAGAGGCATTCTTCTAAGGCCCACTCTTACCTTGAAAGAGCAGACATGTTTGCTCCTTCCCAGCTAATCCTTCACAGAGTGAGTCTTCCCAGAAGACTAATTCCTCTGAAAAATGTCACCACAGCAAACACCTACAAAGTCCATTCAAACCTGCATCACCTTACCTCTCTTGTTGACTCGCTGTGATATCACTCCAAGGACACAAGTCACAATTTACACACCATCCAGAGGAGCAGATGGGTTTGCCTTTGGTTTTTATCCAGGATCTGATCCAAGGGAGACAGATAATACAATTTCTGCCATCCAGTCTTGCACTTAAAAATCATCATTTCTTTACCAATTTCATTTCCTGCCTTATGTCTTCATCCGTTTCCCTGGAAATGGTGCATGAAGCCCAGACATCTAATTTTTGTACTGCTCTCTGTGATGGAGCACTAAATGTGCTTTGTCCAGCTCTGTGAAGACTGATTTAAAATCCTTTGATTGCTGCCTGAATTCTGAAGGTTTCCTGGGCCTTAAGTGGTGATTAGAGCAACAAAACACATTAAATTCGAAGTCAGCTGCCCCAAGAAAGTTTAACTGATAGAATTCTTCTTTAACCTTCACACTTACTGACTTCACCTTCTGTTGGACTCTGTGTAACAAAGTCCAACACTTTGCCTGAAATCTGAACTCCAAAAATATCCTTACACGTTTCAGAACCATCATAAAAGCCTCACTTATTCTCCTGGTCATTCATTATTTGTTGCCCATTCTGTTGTGCAGTAAATCCTCACAACTTCTGCAAGACCACAGTCACACTGGGAATCCTGTTTGCCTTCACCAGTCATCTGCCTTTGCAGCCTTAGAAGGAATCAGGTAGTGAGATTTCTTCTTATGGAGAAGAGGAGCAAATATTCCTTCATACCCCAGTGCTGAGAACTCCTCATAAGCAGCAGCATGTCTTTCAAGTCTAGATCTTCCAACAAAACTGTACAGTTTGTTCCTCCTTGCCCCCTCACCTTCCCAGCAAAGCACTTATCTTCATATACTGAAAGATAACAGAATTGAACAGACTGAAGGACAACCTCCCAGCACAGTGTCCTTCTGCAGATTATGTACTGGGGAAGTGCCACAGTGGATACTGGTGGGACTACCTCTAGGCAGCAGGCTAATTATCACTGTCTACTGCTAATGAGCTGCACTTTGTTCAAGGGAGACCACCAGATCTATTCCAGCCCTTCTAAAAGTGTTCTGAAGAGAAGTGGGGGATGAACAAGTAAAGAAATAGACACCATAATAAAGGCAGTGTTTGAAAATTTCATCCCAGGAAATGGAATCAATTTCTACCTCAATTCTTATGGAAAAACAGAGAATTTCACAGAAATCCTACCAAGATCAGCAGGTATTGCATACAAACCTCTGGGAAGAAAAGACTGGTGGCCTGTTACTTCTGCCTGTTACTTGTCAGCACTTTGAGCATAGAAACTACAGGTTTCAACTTCCTCAACACTGCCAATGCACTCCACAGAAATGCAAACAGGATGGAATCCATGGACTGAGCAATCTGCATAGAGCTCTTCAAAGTCTTACAAGTAGGTGGAACTAATGCATGGTCTATAAAGGATGTTTTAGAGAGTAGCTGTGTGTTTTTCTGAACTTCAGTGGCATTTAAATACATGGCAGGATAAGAAGTTGTTTCCATTCCCCTTCGTGAAAGAGGCAAACAACAACAAATGACTTTGCAGTGAAAAAAAAGTGACTGGTTTATACAAGCATTAAACAAAATGCCACTTGTGTGATGTAGCAGCTGGGTTTTTATGGGTACTCAGACCATTAAGAAGTTGCACTTAATCCCAGAGCTGGAAGTCTCTGCAATCCCCATCCATCATGTTCTTCTTTCAGATCAATGAACATCTGAGCCAAAGTACAGAGATATGTTTACATTTTCACATACCCTTTGTGAAGTGACATTTATTAACAAGCTTGGCACAGAGAAACCTCATTGTGAGAAGACACTGACAAATCCCATCACTCAGTGTCTAGTTAAGGACACCGACCACGAGTAATTCTCCCTGCTCCTAAGTAGAGAGGAACAAAACATTCACTCAACAGAATCATGGAAGTCAGCAATACAAATTGGGATGTAAGAAAATACCTGATTAAGTTATACCTCACAGAGTATGCATTGTAAGGATTACTCCTTCCCTTCTTCCCTCCCCCTCATCTGTAACACTTTGCAAAGATTTCTGAGCAGGTTTGTCTTAGCTTCTAGTACTGTACATGTCCACATCTTCTGGGCTGGACTGACCATGGTCCATAAGTTTTGGATCAGGCTTCAATTTTGGTGTCTTTGCTGTTCCTGTGTAGAGATCAAAGAAATTTAATTAAAAAAAAAAAAAACAAACAAACACATGGAAATATATATATAGGGGGCAAAAAAGCCTATTGACACATTTTGAGCATTACTGTATTACTAAACACACATTTTTTATTAGAACATCACACTTATTTTGGTCTTTTCTAAGCAATAGAGGATGATCTGCTCTCTCCTAAAAGCTTTGGCCCACTTGGACAAGTGAAAATGAATCTGTGTTGTCAGAGATGTTTATTTAGGGCATGGACATTTTGGGCCATATTAAGGATGTGAACCAGCCCCACCCATGAGAGCAAAGACAGAAGATATTTACATACACCAAACCATTAAAGACACTCTGGCCTGAAGCAAATGTAGAAACAGATCAAAGCAGCCCACAAACTAAATCAGAAAAACTACAGGTGCAAAGCAAAGGAAGATGTGAATATATATTATAGTGAAAACAATGGGAAAGAAATTAACACACACACCCCCAATGTGTTCTGCTTGCTTTCCAGAAAACAACTCCTCTAATAAAGAACACAATAAATAGAAAAAAGGAAGTTTAAGCAACAAGTAAAATTTGGAAACTGCCCCTACAAAAGGTAACTATTTTAAAACAAATTCAGCTCTTTAACAGGTAACTGCACTATTTCTCTTGGCAATTACACTGGAAATGTTTAACTCACCTGATGAAGGCACTGGATCTTTGCTGCTCCAAGATTCTACTGGAGAAGATTCTGTTCTGTTAGATGATCTCGACTCAATAGCAGACTCAGGCTTTGTATTAGGAATTTCTTTCTTTTTCTTATCTTCTTGTATAACTGATTTTGACTCTTGCTGCAGTTGTGAACCAAACATGAGGAAAAAAAAAATGCACATTGGTATTTTCTTAATACATTATTGCAAAATAAACCTTTTGAAGTCTGAAAGCTTATCTTTTATGACATCATACAGTGACATTCGAATAACTAGTAATGTTTACAGTCAGCTGCACACAAGGGACACAGCTGGAAAAAATGAAATGCAGGAAAGAACCCCACAGTTCAGAAACAGTAACTTCAAATTTGCTTTGTCAGAAGAATCTACTGTAGTCTAGACCTCTGTTTTTACCTGAGACCCTCAAACTGCTTCACAAGGAAGCCACTGTTCATTTACAGATGAGGAACTGACAGTCTTACAAATGACTGAAATAGCATTTAGGTTTTCCAGAACACTCACTACCCTTAGTTAACAGAAGCTGGGAAGATAAATCATGGTAACAATCTAGTAATGAAAAATAACATATTGTTTTGACAACAGGCTTCATCAAGGAAAAAAAAGTGGAAACTGTCTTTTTTTGTTTGTTTGTTTTGCTCTCAGTTTAATTAGACCTTTACCTGAATCTCATTTTCAAACCTCATTATTCCATTTGTGCTCCTCAGTGGAAATAGGTGAAGACTGCATACAAATGAATGCCATAAATTTAAAGCAAAACACTTCTAAATGTTAATGTAACTGAGAAACTTTCATTTGCTTTTCAAAGAGCAAAAAAATCACTGTGCAAACCCAAAATTTTACTCTGAGAAGTGATACTTTTGTCAAGGGTTTATAAATGCCCACTGGAAAAAAACCTTTCAGGTTGCAGAAAAAAACCCATGTTTAATTCTGGGATGTACTAAGCCAAACTCCAGGTGTAATTTACAGGGAGGTAATATTCCCCTCTGCTTAGTGCTGGCAAGGCCACAGTGGGTTTACTATGCCCTGTTTTGATCACTTGACTTACAAAAAACAAACAACATAAACCACACACAAAAATCCCTATAAAAAGAAAAAAAGTGAGAAAGGAACTAAGGAAATCTCAGAGGAGAACAAGAATTATTTAGAGTTAGAAAGCCTGCTGTATAAGAAAAGGTTATACTAGGGAGAAGGTCGTGTCAAAAAGCACAGTGTTTTCCTTGTGTCAATCTAAAGAGGTTACTGACCATTTACTCACTATGGCTGCAATGAGGACAGGAGAAGAAAAAATAAATTCAGACATGGACAATTTCCCTCACAGGGTAATTAAAACAGACTATCTGGAAGGGCTGTGGAATTTCCTTCACTGATTTTGAAGAATAAGCTTGTGATACCTACTGTAATTCTGTGTGTCTGTATTCTAAATGCAGTGGTTTGCTTAGGACCAAAGCCTGAATCAGGACAGGTTATTTTTTGTCCAGATCAAAAATGAGCTGCAAGAGAACCTTGGATTTCTCTTGTGCATCTTGCACATATGGTGGGACTACACTGGAGACCTCCACACCTACTGTTCTGAAAGGTCTCACAAATATTAAACACTCAAGTTACAAAAATACCAGAGGGGGTTTTGTGCCTCACTTACCACAATTAGTAATCTTAACCTGTATCAGCAGAATAGTACCTGACCTCCTAGTTTCTTTCTTTTCCCTTTGAATTCATGAGTTACAGGCAGTACTTCAGACAGCCTACCTTCCTGACATCTTCCTTTTCCACCCACAGTGACCGTACAGCCTCATAGGTTTGGTGGCTTGCAGAAAGCAACTTCTTCCCTGCTACCTGTTTTTAAAGAAAAATGTAATTTAACAACAACTTTAAAAATGCTAAGAAGTTAACAGAGACCAAAGCAGCAGTTTTAAAGGATCCCAACTTGTCCTCACTGCATTAGAAAAGATCAAAGACAGTAACACAAAAGTCAAAAGCCCCCAAAGTTGTCCTGTCCCCTGTCAGTGAGCAGTGCTTTGCTTTACAAATGGTCACATCCTTCAGTCTGTTTCTGCAAAGCACTTTTATAGCCCATGTAACTGTGGAGCACCTTTACAAATGCTCTGTGAACACAGAGCACCTCACAGCTGCAACTACCAAAAACTGTTCAGAAGGTGATACATAAGGTAAGTAGGCAGGGAACAGGGATTTAGCTTCCTGAGGTAGGTCATAACATCCAGTGCAGCATTCCCAGTCATTCCTCATCTTCCAACATTTCTTCTTGGGACAATAAGCCAAGAAATCCCATTGCCTCTTGAGAAACCACAATCCTCACTGATTTGCATAGAAGCAAAATAACAACACAGCATTTTAGCAATGTGAGATTGAAGTGTTTGGGCAACCACAGTACAGGTCATTGCAGCATCTTCTGAAACGCTCAGGAAGCTACAAAACACCAAAGAAAACCACCTCACTAAGCTATTAACAGTAACAACCAATTCATCATGATGGAAAGTCAGAGATTCAGCAGTATTTTTTTTTTTTTTAAAATCAGATTTCAGGATAATGTTCCACAAACCTGTCAATGCTTAAATCTGATCTTCTAACTAAAAGACTGATAACCCTAAACCAAACACAAATCAACTTGATTTTCCTCTCTTGCCATTTTAACACAGATGTAGTTTTGAAACACTAAATACAAAGTTCATCAAGGACCTATGAAAGAATTCTTATGAACCAGTATGTGCTTTTCCAAGTAGGAGAACATTGGAAAACTGTAGAGGACAGGGTTTGTAGACTTTATATCCTGCTTTTCCATTCACTTTTTATTTAGCAAAGCACCATGTGCAAACAATTCTTCCATACAAAACATTAAGTATAGTTCTGCTTTTCTACATAAAGACCTAAGACACATTCTAATCAGGTAGGCAACTGCAAGATGCCAGTGATGGGAAAACAAGGAATTCTACCAAGAGATGCAACTGTACAGCATCTCAAGCTGCACATCTATTAAGTTTGGCAAGGCTTTATTTCTTATTGACTTCTATTTCAGCAAGATAAAACAAACATCACTTATTTGAGAAATGAGGATTAACAACTGAGGGGCTGCATTTTTAAATTCAGTTATTTTATTACATCTTTTGCAGTCATGCAATTAACATGTGATGTATTGTATGTTCTAATGAAGTTGCATGTGAATTCTGACTCCTACTCCCAAGCCACTTAATTCAGTTGAAATGGGAATGCTATGACTAAATTCACTGCTAATTCAGTATTGAAATACAACCAAACTCACCTGAGCAAATACTGCTGACTGAGCTGGGTAACAAACAGCAACTCCTAAAGTTGTAAGCCCCATGGGATAAGCAATTTTCTTAAACCTAGAACCTGCATAAAGACAAATATCTCAAATAATTAGATGCTAATGAAATGTAAAGAGTAGGTGTAGAATTAAACAGAATTGTTTAACCCCTACCATTGTTTACATCAAATTTAACCCCATAACAGCTGGAGAATTCAGAGTGTGATGATAGTTTACTACAGTCATGTTTGCAGGAGATGGTGATACATTCCCAAATGAGACTTTCCAATATTGTCAAAAATGAGAAGAATGTGTCATTTAGGAGCTGCTGTGGTTCTCCACTGGCTCCACAGCTTCTACCAGTCTGCCAACATTTTGATTAGCACATTAATAGTGTGATGTATTCAGATAGGCACATGCTCAGGTATTATAAATCAACATTTTCTGAACAGTATTTTCTCCCAGGTTAAGAATTACTCCCCTAATATTTACCTTGAAAGGAGAGGTGACCATATCCAATCACCCTTCTGGCTTCAAAGCTGCCAAAACCATGCCTTCTAACATCTGCTCTCTTGTGCCTGGTTAGCCAAATGCCAACATGCTTTAGCTCCTTTCCTCCAAATTCCTTTTGCTTGTGCTATATTCAGTAATGTTACCTGCTAAGTTGCTTTCCATTTCCTCCCATACACACAATGTTTTTGAAAATTAATGATGAAACTCAAAACAAGTTGAATACTTTGAATTTCTGTTGACTCCACTGTTAGAATGACAATATAATCCTACTCTGTCTATTCTATCTCACCCAACTTCTAACAGAAATACTTAATTATGTCCCTTCAATTTATCAGGATTTTTTAATAGTTATGTACTTTTTTTGCCTGTGTTCCAGAAAAAGCCTTTCACCATTAAAATTACTATGTACTATGTATTCAACACACCAATAATGAAAATAAGCTAAAAAAATCTTACCTTTTCTTGCTAGTACTATGCCAGCTAAGCCTGATACTGTGATTACACCAACTTTGGGGAGAAAGTCTGGTGGTGGATTCTTCAGGTAAATGTAAGCATCTTAGAATTAAAAAAAGAGGCAAAAAAAAGGCATAGAAATTCAATATTAATCCTTCATAACTTCCTACATAAGAAATAAAGATGGCAGTAAAATTACAAGTCTCCAAAACTGATAACAGTCCAAGACTGGAGTTTTTGCTCATGAATGAAGATCCTTTATTTTCCAGGTGCACATTCTGCAGCCTGTGCTAGAACCAGAACCCCTGTCCTCAAAATGCAGCAGCAAAGTTCCAAATTTTTCTCCTTACACACTTTTTTGTGTTTTGTAAAATGTTAAGTCCTTACTAAAGGAAGAAGGAAAGCATAGTTTTGAGTTTTGATTTTACTGAGAGTTAATATAGATTTAAAGAGCAACACACCTTTCAGAATCTCCCAATATACTATTTTTAAGGAAAATGAGTTATCTATAATTTCTGATACTGAATTTGAATGCAAAGAATTTCAGAAGCTGGTTTTATAATTAAGACAGATTGTGGAATTTCCATCCCAGAAGACTTGAGTGAACAGAGACATAAGCAACCTGCTGTGGCCCTGCTTCAAGCAGGTGGTTGGAGCAGACAAACTCTAGAGGTTTCATAGATCTATGATTGTATGATCTATGTATAATCTACAGAGATCTATGGATCTACAGAGACCAACATCAAGGATTCTGGGATACTATGATTTTAAAAACAAAGGTAAAAATCAAAGGGCTGAAATAGACATAAGCAACCTGCTGTGGCCCTGCTTTAAGCAGGTGGTTGGAGCACACAAACTCTAGAGGTTTCATAGATCATACAGTCATAGATCTACAGAGATCTATGGATCTACAGAAATCCAACATCAAGGATTCTGGGATGCTATGATTTTAAAAACAAAGCTAAAAATCAAAGGACTGAAATACTTTTAGTTGGTCCTTTCTCTCATTTGAGAACAGAAATCTAAATCTATAGTGAATTAAGATTGTTTCTTCCCTTCACACTTGCAGAGGGCATTCCAGTGCACTCCCCTTCCACCCATTCCCTCCCTAACCAGAATTTGCTCTTTCAATCATCACTAAGTCACCAGTAGAAACCACAGAAAATGCTCAATTCAGAACTATGTGGCTCACCTACCTTTTCCAAATTGAATAGAATCCATTATTCCATTTTTAATAAAGACAAAAGCATCCTATGGAAAAGAAAACAAAAACTAAATGCAAAATCTTTGCAAAAGTAGATGTTTTCAGTACAGAACTACTCAGCTGATATATACAGCCCAGCACAATGAAACAAAGAATGTGCACGTGTGTAACTTTAACAAAATCCAAACTGGATGCATGACCTTCTAAGGAGGCTGTGCTGAGATCTAACCCCTTTTTGACTACTGTATTTATAGTTTTAAAATACACATATGAAATTTAAAAATCATCTCTTTAATCTAGTAAGATCACTTTCAAAATTGACATCTTGGGAACAAGACTGCAGGGTGGCAAAACATCTGGACACCAACTTCAGCACAACAAAAAATATCAATTATAAAAGAGAACCTCCTCTTCCCTAGAGAGGCTTACCCAGCAAAACTGGCATTGTCTCTCAGTCTGTAAAAACAGTGCTCAATTCCCTGAAAGATGAACAGTTATTTGGTCTAGGATGTGTGCTCCAATGGTTTGCCTTACTCCCTCCAAATTGGTCAATTTATTTAATTACAAGTTTTCCTTTATCCATAAAAAAACCCTTCTACTAGCCTATTATTAGTATTATTAGCATTGTTTTCCTCAGATTGCTGAACAATTGAACAAGTATACAGTCTTTTGAGATTAATGAAACAGTGTCATCTAGAGCTGTTTCACCAAAATCAGCCCTTTGCAGTAACACAGATTTCACACCAGCAGAGGTCACTGCCAGGCAATCTTCAAACTCCCACTTGAGGATGAAGGGCACAGGAAAATTCGGTACACACTTATAACATTGTTTCAGTTATGCAGCCACTAACAAAATTGTCACAGGCCAATGGAATCAAAGTCTACAGAAAATGCAGGAAGACGTTTTGATTTCTTTGCCCTTTTCAAATAACAGGCTCTAATTTTTAAGAGAAAACTACAAGCACAGAATTTCATACTAACAACAAACAGGGCAGAGCTGTCATTTAGCAGCAGTTAAGAGAATGGTGACAGGCATGGCGTGTCCTTCTATGCCCAGAATAGTCAGTCAGAGCTGCAAGGTATTTTTGATGACTAATTAGTAACAGCCTGCTTTAACAATTACACTGGATGCACTCAGTTCTTGTCTTTCCTAAAGTACCTGAATCAGGTCTTTTAACTCACCTTTTGGTAGCAGGTCTCTCTCTCTCCTGGAATTCCAGACTCCTAAATCCTAGCAAGTTCTGCTAGCAAGAATTTACCTATCTAACTTTTGGTGAAGAAGTCCACCAAGGGGTATCTCTGAACCTGCCACTGTAGGCTGGCCTAGATCCAGTTTAGCACTGACTGAAGGAACCTCTTGGATCTCACTGCCTTCTGATTTGGAAAGCAGTGAGGACAGCCAGGTTCCCCGTCATAAGCACAGCTGAGAAAGAAGAGAAGGGTTCACTTTTTGCAACCTACATTACAGATGTATGTTAATACAAGGAACTGCACAAATCCTCCAAGGTGAAGCATGCTGGTTTCCCCCTGCCTCAGCTGAGGGCTGTCAGGAGCTGGGGGCTCTGGATGCAGGCACTCCTTACCTTGCACCACCCCAGGTAGCGGCCCGTCGTCTGCCTCACTGCAGAGAGCTGCTTCTGCAAGGGACCCGGCTGCTCCTCAACGTACCGCAGCTTCAGAGCAGGGGGGCAGTAAATGGGGAGCTGGAGACAACAGCAGGGAGACAGTTTGTGCACTGGTTAGTATTTACACTGCAGTTCCAGGACTGTAAATCCCCAGTGGTCCCATTACAGCAAACAAAACCTCTGTATCAAGTGATGCTCTTTTATATACAAACTGCACACAAGTGTGGCTACAGGTTAATTCTTTAGACATGAAGACTGAAAGTATTCTATAGTTCTAAGAATTACTCAGTATGATAAAAGCACCTCCTATTCAGAAAAAGTATGAGGAGAAATAGTTGGAAGATGCACAAATGTATTATTATTAGAAACTGTGCAACAGAAAAAAAACTATCAGTAAGTACTATGCTCTTCTACCTTTTCTGGCTTTGTTCTGGAAATAATACACTAATAAAAAATGAGATAAAGCTTTACTAACTTCCTATTGTAACTTTCTATCTTGTGCTACAGTAGACAGTTATTTGGGAGGTCATTTTTATTATCACAGATTACTTAGCTATGCATTTTATTTACTGGGTAACACAATGCAATGGAAAGAGCTGGCATTCTGCAGATTCTCCCAGAATTATTTAATGGCTGACAAGCAGTAAGACTCTTACCTGACTTGGCTTCACCAGCTGACCTTTAGACTCCTTTTCTGTTGCATAAACGGTAAAACAGGCAAAGGGCAGAGCAGAGGAAAGAGCTGCCAGCTTTGCCACCTGGGACAGGCAGATGAAAAACACAGGTCTTAATGCAGACATCAAAAATCACTCCAGTGATCTCTGGGTTTTACCGTTGCGTTCAATCAAATACAGAATTAAACAAGACACTTTTAAAACCTTTTCAAAATAGTATATCTTTTAGAAACCTCTTCTGTCTTAGACCAATCTGTTCTCACAGTACAGTGGTAAAGAAAAGTTAGAGATCACTGACAACAGTTATGTCTAAAACACCAGGAAGACTTTTCTGTCCAAAGCCAGGCTGAAGCTACATCACCCCTAAGGTACATTAAATTCCAATCTACTCAACATAAGGGTACAAGTCAATGAATGACTCTCTTGTCTCAGCAAAACACACCTCAACTTTATTTACAGGCATTTTCCATGACATCAGACAAAATGTCAGGTCCTTTCCAATTCCCAGGGTGGTTCAGGGGCTGCCTGTCTGGAGTAGCTGTGTGTCAGCAGGGAATGGAAACACCCAGCAGTTCCTGGAACGTAGGTTACCATGTAAGGTACAGAAATAGAGGCCTGGTCGTGAGAGTTTGATGCCTACTTAGAGCATTAATTTGGGGAAAACCCACTACATTACACAAAGCTTAAACTCAAAAAATACTCAGTTGAAACTATATAAACATTTGCCTTAGGAGTCCAGTCAGGGCTGGCATTAAGCACACTGGCATGACATACACTAAAAAACTTGCCACACCATGTTAAAGCATCTCCAACTTTGGCAGATTCTGGTTTCTTCTGTATCAGCAAAGACTCTTCTGTTCCTCACCTGAAGGATTTTTGAAACTTTCAAAATGTGAAAACAAGTATGAAAAACATTCCCAGGGTCTGCATAGAGATGATGGTGGTAGAATGCCAGAAAAACAGAAAAGCAGTGAAAAACCAACCTGATTTTTGGAAATACCTTAAATTCCTAGTATAAAACTCTACTACATCCTCATTGTTATCTCAGCTTCCAGTTGGAAATATCCTGTCAAAGGAGTGGGATTTACTGCATAGCATTTAGTTATAACAATGAAAACACAACAAACATGAGGAAACTGAAAAGCATCACCCTGAATTAGCTCAGGTTCATCAGACCTCAGTCACACACAGACTAAACCACTCCAGACAGCAAACCACTGTCAATTCTGAAGGACACTGCCTGAGCATCCCAGCAGAACTTTCAGACCATAGAACCACAGCCCCTTCCCTCTCCTCAGAGCATTAAACCTCAGCAGCACACGATGACACCATCCTACAAGTCTGCAGGTGGCTGCCATTTATTTTGTGCTTTTCTTCAATATAAAAATGGTAGGAAAATGTGTAGGACTGAGCTAATTTTGGCTCAAGAAACAGAACCCTCTCACTTCTTCTCTTCAGGCCAGCCTGATGCTATGAAATTTTTGTAACACGCCCATGTCAGCTGGAAGTGTCAAAAGAAGCCCCAGGTCCAGCACTGGCTGGCACAGCCACCACTGTGAACACAACCAGGCTGAGCAGCACGTACCAGTCTCCTGAAGCACACCAGTGACACCCCAAAATACTTCACCTTGGCAAGTGTAACAGGCCTGAGGGGACGCTGGCACAGAACCAGAAGACAGGGCCACTAGAGGAAAGCTGGGGAGACGTGGACAGCACAAAGCAGGGACAGAGTGAGCTCCTCTTTGCACAGAGAAAATCCACAATGAAGTTTATAGCTCTAAATGTAAAAGCAAAAGCTCTGCTGGGAGTGATGGAACTAGCTCAATTCCTTACTGACAGTAATTGCTTTATTTTTGGACACCTAGAGCATAAATGTTTAAAAATCCAAGTGAACAGCTCCACAATTATTCCAGGAAGGTTCCACTGTTTTCTACTGAAATCACAAAGAACTGAGGGGAAAGAAAAGCAGCATCTCCTCGAGCAGATAACAGGCTTCACTATGTTGAGCTGTCCTCTTCCTTCATCAAATGACTGTGTACTAAAAACATCTCAATTAGCTAACTTGTTTCTTCTTACTAAAATTATTTCATTAAAATTACTTCACAGGATATTATGAATGCACAAGGAAAATCATCTGTTGTTTGACTAAAGCAATTAAAAGCTATTGTATCAATGAAATCTTCTAAAAGAAGCTACTGAGAACTATGAAATTGCAGGGCTGTGTACTTGTATCAAAGGCTAGGGAACAAGTGCAGAGAAACATGTGCAACAAGCAAAAAATGCCAGGATTACATGGCCAAGCAGGATGTCAGTAATACAAATAATAAAACATCTTTTTAATGAATTGAGGAAGTAATGTATTTTACTTTTTTTTTTTTTAATTGAGTTTATTTCAGCATCTTCTCTGCATTTTACTGTGAGTTCTGCATTTATCTGAATAAATGCTCTGCCCTGAGCTCTATAAACTGACAAAAATCACTCCGTTCCTAATTGCACCAGATCCAAATACCAGCGGTTACAAAAGCTATGAGCCCAGATGGCATCATCTGGAGGTGAGTTCTAGATGAACAGAGGTCTAAACATCACCAAAATTACAGGTACCAGCACCCACCAGCCTCAGTGCTCTGTGTGGGAAGGTCCATGGTACCAGTCAGACCATTTCCAGTAACACCAGTGCCATGCTGCTGACATTGCCATCACACACCACCAGTAGGTTGTTTTTCCCCACAGGCACAAGCCCCATGCTGGTTATTTCAAAGCACTGAACAGTGCAGACAAACAAGCATGGGATTGGTGTTGATGAGAAGACTGAGCAGCAATTATTTGCTGAAGAAATGTGGCATATGCTCCCTTGCAGAAAATTTAGGGCTACACCTTTCAGTAGGACAGCCTGAGTAAAACTAATCAGAACAGAATATAAAACTGTCAAACGTACCTGGATAATTCTGACTCTAAACCTTTGCATTTCAAAGAATATACTTCAAAGTGTGAGAATCTTATCAAAGAACAAAAATACAGATTCTATTAAAAAAGTTAAAAAGCTACATCACTACAAAGGATTCACTATCTTCAACTTGAAAGATGCAGAATACAAACTAAAGCATAATAGACCCCATAGATTTAAATTATGCTGAACTCCAAGACAGTAAGTATTGCTTTTTACAGAAACTCTTCAAATTCTGTATATTTGCTTCAAGAATTGCACCACAAGTCAGGAAACTTGCCCTGAAGGTAGGAAGAAACCTCAAAACAAAAATAAGTAATCATCTCCTAGTAGGCTATATGCAAAAACCTGATATGTGTACATATACATAAATAGATATGCTTTGCCCATCAGAAAACAAGAATCTACCAGCCAGATTAAAGTATGATTAAAGTTTTAGCAGCTACCACACGTCATATTTTCAGTGGAGAGCTGTTACTCAAGGAATAAGGGGCATAGGTTTATAGTTTCCTGACACCACTTCAATATCTTGAGGCAGAACAGAAAACTGTCCCCAATTCTTCAGTTTTTCCCAGAAGTTACATGAAACATGACAACTGCCAGAAGTTTCTAGGCCAAATCCAGTATTTTAATTTGAATATGTATTTCTTTATAAATCTCAAATGACAACTACAAAAAACCTGCACACAAGTGGAACAGAGCATCCCTCCACTACAACAGCTGACACTCCAGATCTGTCTCATCTTTGTCTGTCAGATACTAACCCATGGAGAGTGAAAACTTAGAAGAATAAAACTCTAATACACAGTCAATAATAACGAATGCACATGAAGTTAAGTCACTTCACTAAAAGTACTGAATCGATCTAATTTATGTACTAAATTATACTACAAGATCACTTTGCTATACAGCGGAGCCAAACAGTTTCCTTTTTCAGTTTCTTACAAGCTTAAGTAAAATGTTTCATTTTTAGTTCTTTGGCTGTCTTCATTTGCACCCTCTTTTTCTTTGCAGCTATAGACACATTTTAAACGCTTTGGGAAGTAAATATGAAGATTAATGTGAGGGGAACCTGTTCATTTGACTATGAAACTGGAAAACTGACTGTTTGAGAGAAACCCTACCTCTTACGGGCACATTCTCCCCTGTTTAAAGACACTCTATTAATAATCTCTGCAATTGCAGATGTTTCAGAGAATTGTGACTCAGTTAGCTTGTAGGAGCATAACTTTAACATCCTTGTTTTAGCTATGGTATAACACTACTACACGTTACAACGCTACTACCAAACTAGTGTCGTGCTGTTTCACCTCCGGAGTAAGGAGTGGAAGGCGCTTCAGAAGTTGCAAGTAGATGGAGAACAGCCAGAAAATAAATACTTCTTTTACTCCTTGCTGTAAAATTTAACCACCCTCTCGAACCAGCTCTTTCTACCTCAAGTTCCGCAGCGTAGAAAGCGCTACCGCGACCTTTCGCTCTCCTCCGCCCTCACCCGAACCCTCGGTCAGAGGCTGCAGGGACGTCCCCACCCCGAGGAACTCCCACCTTCCAGCCCCCCACGCTGGAGCGGCGCGGCTGCGGCGCCAGGACGAGCCCAGCCCCGGGGCAGGGCCGCGGTGCGGAG